GAGTTATGGAATGCTGAAAGGTACTTTACCCGTGGTAAACAGAGAAGACATTTGAACTGAAACATATGCTGGTTTCTCTCCTTGCGTTTCAACAGTGGTCTCCATTGCATCTTCTTCTTTTATCTGGTTCTGCTTGAAATGAAAGTAAAGTGATGGGAGCGCGCGCTCCGCTACCGAGAGTTAATGAGTGTGACGTAGGCTATAAGCTACGCATGTGATTGGTTACCTTTGTGACGAACATAGCTTGTGGCCAATTGCATTTCATGAAAAGAAAAACCGGAACAACAGATTTTTTTACAGCTGATTATAAAGCTATGCTGATCAAAAAGTAACTAGTAACTACAAGCTTCCTAGAAATGTAGTGGAGTAAAAAGTACAATATTTGTCTTTGAAATGTAGTGGAGTAAAAGTAAAAAGTTCCCAAATAAATAACTACTCAAGTAAAGTAAAGATACTCAAAAAAGTACTTAATTACAGTAATAAAGTAAAAGTACTTTGTTACTGTCCACCACTGGCCATGGCTGAGAGAGGAAGAAAGATAAAATATGTTTCAGGTGATTTGGGAGGTAAATTATCAGTTCACAGAATCAACCCTGTGTTCAGCCTGCTTACAGATGTGGTCTGACATGCAGGGTTTTAATATAAATCATAACAACAACACGCCAGAGCTGGTCCCGACCTGAGTAGATCCTCTTGAGGGAGCGGCTGAGCCAGATGTTATCCAGGCACTGTGTTCCCTGTGGGGTGCGGGTGCTGATGTTGGTGAACTGGCTCGACGGAACTAAGGCACAGAGCTTCTCCTTCCTCAGAACGTCCAGCTCAGGGCTTTGAGGAGAGCAACCGAAGTCTCCCAGTAACACCAGCTCCTTCTCACCTGCAGAGGAAACAACATGACCGTCAGCTCTGACAACCAGGGACACTTGCTTTTATAATTAGAGCTTACCATATCAAATGAATGAGAGAGCACTCTGCCTCCATTCATTTCAATGGAGGCACCTGAGATTTGTAGGGCCCTATGATTTACGTAATGCAGGAATTGCAGTCAGAATCAGGGAATTAACACAAAATGGATCCAGCATAAAATGTGGAATCTCAGAATTTGCTCATTTGGGTGAGTTTGACATATTTTGGACAACACAATGTATTTTGGACACTGCTGTTTTCTGTATCTGCCATTACCTGCTTTATTTATTTAATTATTCACTTTCAAGGCAACGTTTTTATCTTTATGTTTAATTCGAGTTGAAATAAAATGCCTGAAAATTAAATGTTCTAGGGGGTTAAATACATAATTTTCATTTAATAATCAGTTGTAGTACATTATAGTTTTGGAGAATCATCATTATGTTTGACTGAAGGGGTACTGGTAGTAAGACAAAATGGCTCAGGGATACACAAGTCTGAAACAGTTGGGAACCACTGCCTTACTGTATATCTTTATATCTTTTTGTAGTCACACATAAATGCATCCCAAACGGCAATATGCACCCTACAAATGTTACATCAAAACGACCGGCTCAGTGGTGGGAGTTATGCTATTACTTTTAGTGGCATTTCAAGTTACCATGATGAGGTAAATTGCAAAAACTACAGTCAAAATACCTCATAGGAATACAATCAAAAAGAAAAAATCAGTAGGTCCTCTGGATGGTTCTTCTTTAGTGAAACGTTTCATCTCTCCTCCAAGAGACTTTTTCAGTCTGATGAGTTTCAGGTGAAC